GAGCTCCTTTACAAAGTATCATTTTTTCCAAGATTCCATATGTAAGTGATATCTCTTAATGCCAGGAGTTTGTCCTACCCTGACCTTGCTGAGTGTCTGTGGGTGCCCGCCTGTGCTGTGGATCAGATCTTGCAGTAAGTCATTGGTCCCAGGGCCAGGGGTCCTCCTGGTGGGCTGGCTCTGGGGACCGACAGGCTTCCTGGCGGCAGGGGCGCGTGGCTCCAACCTCCTCTTGGGAGGCGCAGCCACCTCCATCAGCAGCAATGGACACTGAGGCCGGGGCAGGTCACCCGGAGGGGACCTGGGGTTCACTTACAACCCGCAGAGGAGAACGGACAGATGACTGCGGGCAGTGCCCCTAACTGGGATCCAGGAGTGGGTTGTCTGCTGTGCGCGTGAGGCTGAGCCTGGTCCTGGGAGGCGGCTGGGTGTCTCACCTCGGCGATTGGGTTCACTTAGCCGGAGGTAAATGCATCAGACCGCCCTCTGTTAGCTCCTGGTCTCCCTCCGGGGAGGGACACTTACCACTTACTCAGCTGGTAAGTGTCAGTTTCAAATATGGGACAAGAATTAAGTGAGGCTGTGCTTTTTGAAAACTTAAAAAACCCCAAAACTTTTAAAGAGAGGGAGGGGCGGGGGGTGAAGCTTTGAGCTCCCACGGTTAGCTTCTGAACTCGGCCCTTGAACTCTGAGAGAGCCCTGGGACGTGGGTGCTGGCGCCCCGAGAGCAGCGGCAGACGGCAGGGTGACGAGTCTCAAGCTAAACACTAAGGAGCGAGGAGCCTGGATTCCGGTCCCAACCGGGAAGGCCTTTCGGGGGGGCGGGTGCGTTCCCATCGGTGTCCCTTTGCACCGTTCGTGGGGCCACCTGGGCACGGGCCCACGACCATCGTGCCCCAGGGAGCGCTCGCAGGTGGCCTGGAGTCCACTTTACATGAACTTGGTGAAGAAGCGTGACTCGCAGTCATTACCTGTGACAGGTGAGAAGGAGGAACAGCCTCCTCATTACAGGAGTTAACTCTCAACAGGGCCCCCTCGGGCGGAAGGTTTTCACTTACACCCCTCCTCCCACAGTCACACAGTGGGGCTGCCATGGAGGGATTGCAGGGGTCAGAGGAGGAGACAGCTGCTTGCGAGGACGTCGTTTCCGGGCACAGTGGTTCCCCCCAGGTGTTACAGTGGTGACAGTGGAGAATGTTGACCTCGTGTCGGGTCAGCAGGGGAGACAGTTGAGAGAAGTCAGCCCCTGCAGAGATGCAGCAGGTGGTGGTTTCTGTGCGTTCGGCCTTGGCATGAATTGCTCTCAGAGCAGTTGGAAAAATAAAAGATGGAAAACTAGGCAGTGGCCCACATTTTGGGACAGCTGGTTGGTCGCGCTTAGCTGTGAATCACTTGGCAGAGTCAGAGGCTGCGGGTTAGGGCTCAGGGAAGCCGCAGGGCGTTCCACACGCTGCCCACATTCCCGGGGCTTTTGTGGCTGTAAACTGCAGGCCTCCCAGGACGGCAGAGCAGGACGCCTGTAATAATACAGCAGTGCCAGGAGGAGACCCACCCGCCGCTCTGGGGGATGTAGGTAAAATGGCTCGGCTGTCCCCAGCTGAAAACGAGCCAGCCAGCAGCACCGTTGGGCCTGTAGTGACGTTTCTCCAGCCCCTGGACTCTGTCGATTTCACATCCTGGGCACAGCCAGGCTGGTGACGTCTGGGAACACAGCCCTGAAAAGACGGAGAACGCGAACACTGTTTCTCTCTGTGAGCACCACGTGGACTCAGAGTCTGGGTGTGTTCTGTTTGGTTTTGCAGATTCTGTCCTGGTTGGTTTCTTTTCTTGTTTCTCTGCAAAGACACTGTGGGGCTACGGCGAAACCACTGTGGGGTGGGGAGGGCGCAGGGTGGTGGGGGGCACTGGCAAAGCATTTTCCAGATCTCAAGTGTTTCCTAACGGAGCTGTTCTTCTTGTCCACCTTGTTCCATTGGCTTGTGCACGCAGGCCATTTGATCGCTGCCCTTGACACCATGGATCTGCACATGTTTGACTACTCGGAACCGGGGAACTTCTCCGACCTCAGCTGGCCGTGCAACGGCAGCGACTGCATTGCGGTGGACACGCTGCAGTGCTCCGGCATGCCCAGCAAGAGCGTCCTGCTCTACACGCTCGCCTTCACTTACATCTTCATTTTCGTCATCGGCATGATTGCCAATTCCGTGGTCGTCTGGGTCAACATCCAGGCCAAGACTACGGGCTACGACACGCACTGCTACATCTTAAACCTGGCCATCGCTGACCTGTGGGTGGTGGTCACCATCCCGGTCTGGGTGGTCAGCCTCGTGCAGCACAACCAGTGGCCCATGGGCGAGCTCACGTGCAAGATCACTCACCTCATCTTCTCCATCAACCTGTTCGGCAGCATCTTCTTCCTCACCTGCATGAGCGTGGACCGCTACCTCTCTGTCGCCTACTTCGCCAACACCTCCAGCCGCAGGAAGAAGATGGTGCGCCGCGCCGTGTGCGTCCTGGTGTGGCTGCTGGCCTTCTGCGTGTCCCTTCCCGACACCTACTACCTGAAGACCGTCACGTCCGCTTCCAACAACGAGACCTACTGCCGGTCCTTCTACCCCGAGCACAGCGTCAAGGAGTGGCTGATCAGCATGGAGCTGGTCTCCGTGGTCCTGGGCTTCGCCATCCCCTTCTCGGTCATCGCCATCTTCTACTTCCTGCTGGCCCGGGCCATCGCCTCGTCCAGCGACCAGGAGAAGCAGAGCAGCCGGAAGATCATCTTCTCGTACGTGGTGGTCTTCCTCGTGTGCTGGCTGCCCTACCACGTGGTGGTGCTGCTGGACATCTTCTCCATCCTGCACTACATCCCCTTCACCTGCCAGCTGGAGAACTTCCTGTTCACGGCCCTGCACGTCACGCAGTGCCTGTCCCTGGTGCACTGCTGCGTCAACCCTGTGCTCTACAGCTTCATCAACCGCAACTACAGGTACGAGCTGATGAAGGCCTTCATCTTCAAGTACTCGGCCAAGACGGGGCTCACCAAGCTCATCGACGCTTCCAGGGCGTCGGAGACCGAGTACTCTGCTTTGGAGCAAAACACCAAGTGATGTGCTTCCCAGAGCCTCCGGGACCTGGATGCTGGGTCCCAACAGGGCACCGGGCTGCATCGTTCTCCAGAGTAAAGCCAAGTGGCTTCAGGCTTGATGCCTGAGTAGCGTGAAGAGGGGGACTGGGTCTCTGGGGCTCCATTCTCTCTCTCGGGCCAGCATGGCTGCCGCGTGGCTGCCGCGTGGCTGCTGCGTGGCTCTGCGTCCTAGGACGACCAGGTGGCAGCCCGCACTGCTCGTCAGATCAGCCGTGGGGCAGGCTTGCCTGCACTTCTGTACAGTAGGACTCTCTGCTCCCTGAACGTTTATATGGTGATTTGTATTTAAATCTTAAGACCTTATTTTCTCACTCTCAGTGTACCTTATTAAAAGAAAGCTGAAATATATTTTAGAGATTGTCTGGGAGGCGTAATGCTGACGTGTATGCAGTGTTGTAGTTTTGAGGTTAGTTTGGCTTCTGTCTTGACTAAGGGTGACATTCATTGTTAGCTGGTTTGAAAGTATATATATAAATACATAAATATATAAATATATGCCAGCCTTGGCTGAAATGTTTTATTGACGATAGTTTTATATCTGTGTGATGCTTTGGACCGGCCTGGGATGGGGAACGAAGACTGCTGTGTAGCGCAGTTGGTGACAAAAACAGCGTTGTAAAGTTACGTCGCAAGAAAGGAAACCCAGCAACACTGTTCCGGGTGCAACGCTGCACAGAAGAAACAGCTGCGCTGCAGAGTTCTTTCCGTTTGTAAGTTATTTTTTTTAATAAAGATTTTTCTTTTCCTAAAAGAAGGCATCTGAGTCTCGGTTTTAAAAGCATGTTTGGCATTCAGGTGGCGGGTATGAGAATAATGTTCAAATATTTACAGCGTACATGATCGACCGAATGAAAATGCTTAAGGAAAAGGGTGACTCCAGCAATGCAAAACCCAAGAGGTTAACTTGGATGAAGTGATACGAAAGGAGAAATACTGGAGTGTGGGTGTTGTGTAGGTTTGCCTGGTAACGCGCCAGCCAGGAGTTTACTCACTGCGCAGCCTGAAGTAGAGGGTCATTGGTGGGTTACCTTTAATGAAGAGTTCATCCTGGGGGAGGGCAGAGCTCTGTGGCAGAGCATGTGTTTAGCATGCACTAGGTCCTGGGTTCAGGCCCCAGTACCGCCATTCAAAATAATAATAATTTTAAAAACACCTCACTACCTCCCTCTCCCCGCACCAAAAAACAAAACAAAACAAAACAAAAAAAACATTGGGCTTTCAAAAAAGAAAAAAATTGAGAAAAAAAAGAATAAGAAAAAAGAAGTTAAAAAAAAAATAAATGTGACAGTATAGATTGTCCAAAAAAAAAAAAAATACCTCCTACCCAGAGAAAGGGAAAGGACTTCAGCCACAGAACCTCAGCAGGGACGGTGGCCCTGAGGGGACGAGATCCAGCCCTGAACCCTCGGACAGACAGCAGGCGGGGACTTTCCCGAGCCTCTGAAGGAACTGGTTAGCACAGAGAGCTATTTGCCAACCTAAAGGTGGACCTGGACCAGGTCCCTGGGCTCGTGTGAGTCTGGGGGCTAATATCGTACAGGAAGACACCCCGTGCACGCTGACCCCCCAAGGCCCGCAGCAGGCACCTCCAGCACCTCCCCCACAGCCTGCTGCAGCTGGGCACCCCTTCGTCACAGGGCTTTTGGCTGAGAGTCCTGAAACCTGGGTTATAAATTTAAGCATCTACTCGATACACATACATGGTCTCAGGTGCATGTATACCTTGTCTTGTTCCAAATAGTATTCAGGTCAGACAATCATAATGTGAAAGATGGCACAATGGTTTGAGCATAGGTGAGGACACCGAGGAGAAATACAAGCAGAATGACAAAGTGAAATCAGGAAATTGTGACCCAAGTACACGTTCCTGACAGCGGAAAGGATTGTGCGTTTGCTCTGAGCTTTCTAGTGGCCCAGGTTCAGACGGAGACATGCTCACCGAGGAGCTGATGCAGAAAGGGGCGCGGATTTCGTCAGTGAGCTCAGTCGTGCAGTAGGTGGAACAAAAAGTAATTCAGGCGTGGAGGGGATAGCTCAGTGGTAGAGCGTGTGCTTAGCCGCCATGAGGTCCTGGGTTCAATCCCCAGTCCCTCCATTAAAATAAATACAATAATAAACAAAAAGCCCTAACTACCTCCCCCTCAAAATAATTGAACTTAACTTCTGTCTTGAGGCTCCATCTCAGTTCAGAGATGCCCACTCTCCTCTCCCTGACACCCCCGCCAGCATCTCCCGGGACGTCCACTGCCCGCCTGGTGCTGCTGCCAGTCCCCGTCACCCCTGTTCAGGGCCTCTTTCTCCTGTTTGGCCCCACGCTGGACCGCGGCCTGCTCAGGGAGTCGGTGGGCTGCCCCTGGCCCTTTTCTGCTTTCCTGCTACTCTGAAGCCCACGAGGATCACCAGCCGCTTGCCCCTGCACTGAGGTGTGGAGGGCAAGCACTGGACCGAAGCTAGACGCGCCATGTCGACTTTCCGCCTCCCCCAAGGGCTCAGGGTCCAGGGCCTCAGGCCTCTGTGGGTCTCCCGCTGCAGGCTGCACCTCTGGGCTGCTCTGTGACTCAGCTCTCTCTGCTGCTCCTAGAAATGCCCTTCAGTCCCCTCCCCGGGGGTCGAGGACACGACTCAAAAGCCTTTCCTTTGATCTCTGGCTGTGCCTTCCGTCCCGGGGGCAAACGGTGCTGGGCGGTGCAGCCTGCAGTGGGGCCCCCGGAGCTGCAGCTGCACAAGGCCCCGGGCCGGGCAGGGAAGCGCCAGTCAGCGCTGCGACCGCCCCACCTGGAGCCCGCGCCCCACCCGACGGGGACTTTTCTGCTCCCCTACCTCCCATCTGACGTGGGCGGCGGGACCACCGCGAGGCACCCCGATGACGGCCCACTGTCAGCAAGTCAGTGATCAATGCTTTCCACTTGGTTCAGTGTCTAAGCAACTTCTGGGTTCCCTGCAAGTGAAGAAGAAAAAGAACGCCGCTGAAAATGCCAGATGTGAAAAATCCTCTGGGCATAAAAAAGAAAATTATTTGCCGGACAGTGGACTTCCGTTCTTCTGACAGAATGGTCGCTAACTGGAATGAGGCCCCGTGAACATTTGTGTCCGGATGGCTGACAGAGTAGCAAGAAATTTTTAAACACCCACGTCTGGCCTTTTCTCGGGGTCTCCCCAGGAGGCAGCAGCTTAGGGAGGTGACCCAGTTTATTAGGAATGTGGGAATCCTGCCTCTACTGGGCTCCCCCTGTGAGACCACCGACTGTCGGTCATGCATCCAGGAGACTGTCCCACTAGCCCAGCCTAGCATCTCAGAGCGTGGGGACACATGTGAGTCCGCACTGAATGCGGCAACGGGACGGCTGATTAGCATGGGGAGGTCCCCAAGGTTCCCTCCTGGCGGTACTGGGCTTCAGTCTTACGCTCCAGGGTGCCCCTGTGGATAACAAACTGCAGAGATCTCATGTCTCCAGAGCACTGGTTTCAGTGGGGGACAAAATATATGAAAATATCGACCCAGTATTACAAAACACTTCACTTCCCTTTGCCCGGGCCTCGGAGCCCTCGAGAAAACCTCCTTCACACCCTTGATGGTGTGCATACACGCACTGCCTGCTGGGATCCTCAGATCTTGATACCAGAGACATTCAACACGGAACGATGCTCGTTGGGGTAAGGTCTGTGGGAAATTAAGTTGCTTGGTGTAGGCAGTTTGCATTTGCAGCAATTTTTTGCTTTCTGGCTGGCTGATAATGGCCTGGCTCTTCTGTAACATTCCAAGAGTTCACTTCCCTCCTGCCGCCTCCTAAGCCCTCACCCACCCCCGCGTACGTGGTTAGGAACCAACTAGCGTGTGTCACGGACACGGCTTCCAACGTCATGTCTAGCATGGTCTGGCCGTGTCTGGCGTTCAGATCCGCCTTCTAGAAGGCGGGGGCATCTGCCAGAAGAGGGGGCAGCTGAGTGTGAGGCTGAAAGAACCCTGAGTACTAAGGTCCTGGAGAGTCTTTGGGAAACCTCAGCTTGCTTGTCTGTGAAGTCGGGTGATGAGAGTACCTGCCTCACAGGGTTCCTGTGATGGTCAGATTCCATGGTCCCTGCAAAATGTTTCTCGGGACGCCCGGGGCACACACTGCGTGGCTCTGGTCGCTACAGAGCCAGTGTGCCCAATGGCCTCTGGGCACAGGCTGCATTTTCTTTGCAAGAAACAATGCATTTCAGAGAAATATGGCCAGAGATTGCCTGCCTGTGGGCAGGGACTGAAAGAGTGACTCCCACCTGCCTCAGACAGCGGTTCCCAACCTGGGCTGGTCCTGTCCCCCAGGGGACACCTGGCAGTGTCCGGGGACACTTGTGTCTCCCCTGGGGGTGGGGATGCTACCAGCATCTGGTGGGAGGAGGCAGGGGTGCTGTGAGCATCCTGCCCCGCACAGACAGCCCCCAGCAAAGAATGACTGGGCTCCAGGCGTCAGGAGAGCCGGCACTGAGGGGCCCTGGTTTCGGGTAAGCCAATGGTTCCACAGAAGAATTCTGGACTCTATTCATTGCTTTCCAATGATCTGTTCTAAGGAGGGCCCTTCGACCATTACAGGGCTGGGGGTACATCCTAGGGGGGTCCCCAGAGCCCCCCAGCTTCCCTTTTCTTGCCCTCAACTCTGCAGAAGGGTGTGAGCTGACAGGCAAAGGCAAGACATACTGTCAATACCTGTGCAGGAGTCACACCGAGATTCTCATCGCGCCTGAATACATTTCATTTACGCCAGCTTGGCCCACGAGCAGTTCACATGAGAGGCAAAAGGCACACACAGAGTCAGCTTCAGTCCACGTTTTAAGTGCTCTCTGGAGGTTTTAACTTTCAATGTAATGTTTACAACATTTAGGTGAAAAGGCCCCAGAAAGCACATGAAAAAATGGGGCAACAGATTCAATTCTGCTTCTCAGTAGCTCAGAGATGCCGGCAATATTTCTTCCATGAACCTCAGTTTTCTCACCCTGAAAATGATTCCTTCACTTCCATTAAGGGGTCCTGGCCGAGGTCAAAGAGCATGTGTGCCAGTAAATACTGTCGAACGAGGAGATAAAAGGATGAGTGAGGGCTTCCAAACGCCCGCCGGCCCTTCGTATGGCTCAGTTCATGCTGCCCCAGGTCTTAACTCCCCTGCGGCTCCGCGTGTCTTAAGGATCACGCCTCTGGTGCGCCGTGCACTCCCCAGGCTTGTCTGAAAGCTACGGACATTGCTGTGGGTCACCGCACGCACAACCTTGCCGAGGCTTCCCGCACACGCGGCCTCGCCGGGGCTGCCCGCAGGGCTGAGATGGATGCCGTGGGGGGAGGACTCTTCCTGGGGGTTAGTGTAGGCTGCCTGAAGAGTGATGGGCAATTTTGGTGTTTTTCTTATTTTCAAAAGCCTCATTTTTTTGGTTGGCTTTTCATATGCTTATTCACTCAGACCTTTCCATGTGGGATTCAGAACGGCTGCCAATCATGTCATTTCTCCCGACGGGCTGGGGAAAAAAAAAAGGAAAGGGCGGGGGGAGTGGCTTCATCAGCCATTTGTTAGAATATAATGTTCAGAAGCAACAGAATGGAAACATCCGAATTTCCATAGTTATTTCCGGAACAAAACTGATTAAAATCCTTTCCTAGGTAGGTCGGAATCTTCCCTGTAGCCGTTTTGAGAAGAAAGGGCCGAGAGTCATTGTGGCGATGGCATTAAATCTGCTTGGGTGACTCAGAATGTCTGTTGGCACGGCGGCGGGTCCTGGGGCGCGCGGCCAGCGCGGAGTCGGTGGCCGTGGTGCGACTGAAAGCCCCTCGGGCCTCGCTGTCCCACGCTGCATTTGCTTCCTTTTAGCCTTTCACAGGGAAGCGTTTGAAGCCACTCTTTTCATTCCTTTTTCTTTTCGGGGCTGTAATCAATAGGAAGAAGGCATTAAAGGTCCCCCCACCGTCGCCGTTCTCAGGGCCGCGGTTACGAGCGCGGGCTGTGTTTCATGCTGCACTCTAATGAGAATTTGAATTTCGTGTGGAGCCTGAGTGTGGATGGAACCTCGCCCGTCGCCCGGCTGTGCGGTCCGTGGATGTCTTTCTTGGAGATTTATTCTGCACTCGCTCCCGTTAATTTATGCATCCATCCCTGCATCGGCTCACTCCATCACAGATTGGACGAGCGTCCACTGTGTGCCAGGCACTGTGCTGGTCTTCGAAGCATCAGAGACAGCGGAGCTTTGCTTTTTCTTGATATGCTCCCCGCCTGGAAGGGAAGGCAGATGCGGAGATGCAGAGAAACTGTTACAGGCAGCATGGTACAGAAGGTCCCTGCTGTCTTCTCTGGACATGCTCAGAGCCGAGAGGCCGAATGATCTTACACAGGAGGAACTGCTTACAGGGAGGGGGCCCCCCATTCCAGCCCCAGGGCGGCCAGGACTCCTGTGGCGGGCCCAGGGGACACAATGTGGGCTGGCAGTCCTCAGGACAGTTTCTGGAACACCTTCACTGTTAAAAGTAGACGCTTGAAGGAAGAGTGAAGGCATTCGGGAGGCGTGCAGGAGTGGACCCACACCACTGTCATTAGTCACTATGTGATCTGTGAGCATATTTCTAGGTGAGAATCCAAAGTCATAAAGGCCATCTGTACCCTGAGGCCAGGAGATGAGGTTTCAGGACAAAGAAGTTGGGGGGAGTGGACAGAGGCTTCGGGGAATCGGCACCCAGCCCTTGTTGGCCGCTGCATGGACTATGAGACACGTGTTTCCAAAAGGAATGGGCGGTTCTCAGCGAGCCTGGACTCTCCTTGTCCTGCCCGGTGGCCTGGCTGCAGGCTTCGCGGCCGATCACAGAGCGGGGGTGGGAGACATGTTTTAAAGCTGAGCTCACACATCCTCAAAAAACTAAAAATAGACTTACCATATGATCCAGCAATCCCACTCCTGGGCATATATCTGGAGAAAATGCTAATTCGAAAAGATACATGCACCCCAATGTTCATAGGAGCACTATTTACAATAGCAAAGACATGGAAACAATTTAAGTGTCTATGGACAGATGACTGAATAAAGAAGATGTGATGTGTATATACAATGGAATACTACTCAGCCATAAAAATGAAACCATCCCATTTGCAGCAACATGGATGGATCTAGAGATTATCATACTAAATGAAGTAAGTCAGAAAGAGAAAGACAAATATCACATGATATTGTTTATATGTGGAATCTAAAAAAATAGTATAAGTGAACTTATTTACAAAACAGAAACAAGACTGACATAGAAAACGAACTATGGTTACCAAAGGGGAAAGAGGGAGGGGAGGGATCATTTGGGAGTTTGGGATTTGTGGATACAAACTACTATATATATAAAATAGATAAACAACAAGGTCCTACTGTATAGAACAGGGGACTATATTCAATAGCTTGTAATTATAGGTTTATAATAAAAAGAATTTGGAAAAGAAAAAAAATATATATTTATAAAACTGAATCACCATGCTGTGCACCAGAAACTAACACAACATTGTAAATCAACTATATTTCAATAAAAAAGAAATATATAAAGCTGGACTATCACAGTGTCACCTGTCCAGCCAGTTCCCAGGGGCCCCCTTGCAGTCTCTCCTCCCACTACACAAAGGGCCTTAAGCCAAGGAGTGTCTGATCACCGGCTTCACGCATGACAACACTTGGGCACTGCCAGCGGTGGCAGAAGAGGCCAGTGCCCCATGCTCCCAGCCGCCTCCTCCTTCTGCACCTGGTCTGTGCACTTGGCTATGAAAGACTTGACCTGGAACCTGAAGCTGATGACCTGGGCTCTGGGGTTCCTGGTCTGTAAGAGGGCTGGGGATGTCTTGGATGGTGCGGGGTCACTGCCAGGGAGCGCAGGGGCCTCAGGAGGGACAGGCTCTGGGGCCAAGTTACACTCGGAGGCAAAGACCTTTTCCAGTTTAGGCGCCACTCACAGGCTCCAGGGGCATGTTTTTTTGGGGACACTGGTCCACCCACTGTGGGGCTGTTCCTGCCCATGAGCGAGATGGACACTGTCAGTCCCGGGTCCTGGTGCCCAGCCCAGATCCACACGCACAGGGCCCGGCCTGGACTGGGCTCCAGCCACGGCTGTCTCCCCTGTTTGCCTGCTGGCTGGTTTTGGTTTCTGTCTTTCACATTAGGTTTTTTCCCTCAAATAGCTACTGATCTCTGGCGATCTAGTCACCGTGGACAATGAGACACTGACATTCTGACCTGGAGCTTTGCGGGTGGAGGGCCCCTGGCCGCCAGCAAACCCCGTGGGAGCATGGCCGAGGGGACCAGGATGCTCCACCTGGCCCCCCGCTGTGGGGCTTTCTTCTCAGGCTGGTCTCTTTATCCAGACCCTCTCCTGACCTGGGACGGATAACCCTGTTTCTTGGCATTCTGGAAAGGGGCAGAGGGTCGGGGGCTGGTTGAGTCTCCCCATCGGAGGAGGGTGATTTTGCTGAATACCCATTTTTAACCTTTCGTCCTGCACCCACTGTCTGCTCTGCCTGAGGTCCCCACAGGGCACACTTGCAGGGCCGTCTGGACGGGGAAGGGTGATCCCTGAGTGTGAAGTAGGAGAGGGACCGGGGTATGAGCTTACATGTTTTCAGTTTCATTCAGTGGCGTCTTGGTAAATGTTTACTTTCTGGAGGAAAAAAAAAAAACAACCCACCAATCCTGATTCTAATGCCTGCTCATTCCTGTGCTGTAAATATTCCCAGTGCGGTCGATTTCAGGCTGCCCGAGTGACGTCACTGGAGGCAGGTGCAGAAGGGATGCTCTTAGCCCAGCTTCACAGCACGTCTACTGCGTGGGGTGGGGGGTCCCCTCAACAGCACGGACAGCGGGAAAACGTGATAGATGAATTAGGAAGCGATGCCGTCTGAGGCTCTGTTTTTAATAAAATGCTTTTAAATTTTAAGTTTATGTAATTTAAGTTTTGATAACTGTCATGTTTAATAAATGACTCACAAAAATCCTGGAAATGTGGCAGTCGGCTCTTGCAGACTGGTATGAGCTGGTTCCAACATGCCGCACCACTGGTCACGTCCCACCCTCTCATTGGCACCTGGTGCCTCAAATTTCCAAGGCTTTTGTGGGTTTGTGGCATCAACAGGCTAGTTTCTTACTGGTTTCTCCCCCTGCAGGCCTTCTGATTTCAGTACGGTTTTGGGAGATGGAAAATAAAAGGCGTGTAGTGAAGGTGAGCACATGTATGTATGTGTGTACGTACGTCGCGTGCAGGGGCTACATCGCGTGCAGGGGCTATATGTATCTGTATTTCTTTTTATTTGTCTCTGCTGTCCCTGTAGCAAGGCTTTTGGGAAGTTTTGCTGGTTATTCCTTGTTACAATGTATAATTCTTGGCGGTAAACCTTCCCTGCTCACATTTCTCCTCCTGCTGGACCCTGACTGAGATGGAGTGGCAGGGTGAGTCTGTGCAGGCCACCCGCTGTGTCACACAGGACTTTCAAGTTCAAGCAGGCTGTCCTGTGGGTTTGCCGTCCCTCACGGCCGGCAGCCCCTGTGTCGTTGTCCCACCGGGGCAGTGACCTCACTTCAAGCCCTTTCTGGGTGTTTTCTGGCTGGTCCCTTACTGTATCTCTGTCCATCCAACTCAGCCTTCACACAAGTGTCAGAGTCCTTCTCCCAAAGGCCCGACACTGATGGGGAGATTCCTGCAAACTGCACTTCCGGGGACCCCTGGTTGCTGGCTCCTGGCCACCCTAGGCCAGGGAATAGTTCCAGTGGGAGGGTGGGCAGGAGAGAGGAGCCAGGATACCCCTTTCTCCCTGTCTCTGCTTGGGTCAGCGTGCGGCAGTGGCTATATTGTCTCTGGGGTCCTAACTCCCACTGGCAGAGCCGCTCCTGCTGGGCGGCCTTGGTGGCTGCTGGGGTCACCACCTCCACCCTGTTCCTTGTCTGATGCTGACCTCTGGGTTGCCCATTGTCCTCAAGTGGCTCTTGGGAATGATCAGCACCTTTTACCAAGGCCCTTGTGCCACACGCTCTCCTCTCAGTGATGGGTGTGGGCAGCTTGCTCCTGGCTGGACTCAGGCTGAATCAGTGAATCCTTTCCTTGAACTTGACCAAGTCTCTGCCACAGGCAGGGCAGTCGGGGCGAGGGGGTTCTAGACCCCCCCACCCCCTGACGCCTTCCCATTTGAGATTTTTCTTTTCTGTCTTCTTTGTTAGTGAATTCCAATACTTGACACCCTTGTAGGTAAAACTCCACCTCATTTCTAATGCTGCCCATGCAGGACCCTGAGGCCCAAAATCTCCTCTTTAGGGGTCAACCTCCTGCTTGATGGTGACCAGAGGCTGCGGTGCAGGCAGAGGCACCAACTACGCAGGGTGATCCCAGACAAGCAGGCGGACAAGGAGGCACAGCCCAGCAGCTAAGGAGGGGCAGTGACTCACCGGGGCTGGACGCCAGCGGCCAGGCCGCGAGCGGCCAGTGAGCAGTTAGGTGTGGTCCTGGTGGCCGGCCTCGAGGCTGACTTCATCAGTCCGTCGTTTCTGGACCGCTCAGGCTCCTCTGACTCGAGGGACGCTGCACATTCCTCTCCCTGGTTCGAGTCCCTGTTGGGGGACCAAGTCCTGAGGAGTCCGGCCTCGCCATCACCCACCTCGGTGACCAAGCCCCAAGGCCCTGGGCTCTTGGCTCACAGGTTACAGCTGCAGCTTCTCAGATGTCGGGCTCTGGGGTTCGGGCCAGCACTTGTTTTATGAAGGAACAGACACAGTGAGGGCAGGTGACCTGGATGAGGGTGAGAGATGGTCCTTGGGGGAACGGAATTCAGCGGAGTTAGGCTCCTGGCAGCCCCGGCCGGCTCCGAGGGCAGAAGCCGGAGGAGGAGGGAAACAGGGGCGCCTGCCCCTCCGTGTTCCAGCAGCGCTGCTCCAGGGCCGCCCAGCTCAGCTGGAGCCCAGGGCTCCCTGGGAAAGGGGCTCCTGTGCCCGCCCAGGTTTAGGAGGAGCGGCCTTGCTCGGTGGGAATGTCCCGTGCATCCCGTGCATGTGTCCTTGGCCTTGGTCCTCTCCAACGTCCGGTGGTTTCCCACTCAGAGAGCTGAAAGCTAAGCTGCTAAATAGCATGTGGGTTTTCTTCTCTCTTCGTGAAAACAAAAGAAGTGTCTCCGTGTGCTTCGACTTGTGGTACGAGGTCCACACAATTAAAAGAAAAGATGAAAAAGCGCCGGGATTCTTGGCGCACAGAAGCGGGAGCTCCTGGCAGTTTGGCTCACGCTCTGGGCGTCTTGGAAGCCCCAGCAAAGACGTCACGGGAGCACGCCGGCGGGCTGGGCGGGGACCAGGTCCCCAGCGGAGACCAGGGAGGTCCGAGGGTTTGAGTCTCCGACCTCGTGCTGGCGGGAGGGACGGTGCGCCCGTCTAGGTGTCGGAAATGTCATCTCCTTTAACCCTGATCCAGGCTTCCCGGGGCGGGGTGGGGGGCGTGACTCTCACCCCGCCTCCCGCGTGAAGGAACCGGCACAGGGAGGCGGGAGGGAGGAGGCCCGAGTCTGAGCCTAAGACTGGCTGGTTTTGAGGTCACCTCCCAGCGCGGCTGCCAGGAAAAGGAGTCGGGGCAGGCAGACTGGTGAGGACACTCGGTGGGCTTTCTGAGACGGTGGGTCCAGCCGCCCAGCGCCAACCCCAGCACTGCCAGAGACCCACACCCCATTTGCCGAAGAATTCTCTCTCCTCTTCCTCTTTGCCGAGCTCTGGGTGTGGGCCTAACTCCTTGTGCCTTTGGTTTCGAGAACAGATACACCTGATGACATGAAGATTTATTTGGCAGAATTTGCCAAAGGCAGAAGTTATCCAAAGGCCAAGAGGGACGGCAGGCCAGGAGTACTACCTGAACACAGGAAGTCAGGCCTCTGGGGCTCCACTCGAAGGGAAGAGGCGGCGGCGAGCTTAAAACAAAGCAAAGTGAAGTGCGCCGAGTTTTACTTCACGGTTCGCCTTCCCTTCTCTTTCCCTTCTGACAGCTGGGTCTGGTCTCCTAAGATGACCTGAAGCTTGTTAAACTGACGATTCGTTCTTTTTCCCAACAGTTCATAAAAATAATACCGATCACACGTGGACAGAAAGCTCTTTCTTAGGAGCTGGATCCTTGCCACGTGGGAATGGCAGGCTATGAAGGCTGGATGCCTCCACCATGTGGCTTGTTTTGGGTGAACAATCCTGAAACTGGAGATTGTTTTAGGGGAGGCCAAATGAGGCCCTGAGACTCTGCAAAGGTCCCATATTGAGAGGAGGCAAACTTTCTGCTGTCGTCTAATCGCCAAGCAGCTCTTCCTTCAACCGATGGCCAGTTCTGGGGGCAGCTGTTGGCTTATGGGCGGGGCCTACTTTTGGTGACTTGATCAGGAAGATGCCCGTAGATCTGAAGGCTCAGCAGAATGTTCAGGATGTTCCCCTGTGGTTAGCTCCTCACTCGATCATGTTCCAAGAGAAGGACCATCAGGGAGGCCCCTCCTGCCCCTCTGCATCTGCACGGCCTCACCCCGCGCCTGGCAGTGCAGCGGACCTGACGCAGGCTCACTGGCTCACTGAGCAGTCGCGTGGATCCGGGAGATGACTGCTCTTTTTGGCAGCGCTTCCCTCAGAGCAGACCCACGTGGAGTCCCATCCAGCTCCACGGAACTGGCCAAGTCTGAAAAGCTAATGAGCTCTGGGGTCAGGGCTGGCTTTGGGCCAGATGACGTGTGCTTCAGTCCACCTGTGCGGGGAGGGTGGTTTCTCTGAATGTCCCTGACTTCAGGGTGGGCCAGATGCCACCAACAGACCAGCCTTCCTGGATCCCGCCAACTCAGATCTGTGAGCCAGGATCTCATTGAGCCAGACCCTCACTCTGGATTGCCCTGGAAAGACCACCAAGCTCACAGCCTGGCTCTGGAAGCAAGAACTGCCCATCCCCCAAAGCTGGCCTTCTCTGCCCACCAACAACTTTGTGGCTTTCTCCCCAGCACATTCTTCAGAGAAAGGAACATCAGGTGTACCTAGATTCAAATTCTTGCTCCTGACAAGCAGCTCAGCCTCTCTGAGCCTTAATTCTCTCCTCTAGAATATGGTTTCCATACTAGCATCCATCTCAAAGTATATGGTGGGAGTTAATTACGACAGTTCTGTGATGGCCCTAACCGCACAGCCTAGCACACTTGTCCCTCCAGTGCTGGTTCCCCTTCCCCTTGCCCGACTAACTTCTTTTCCCAATCTTCCTCCAAGGTTTGACATTATTGTGAAAGTGTTACCAGCCCTTGGACTCCTTACTCAATAGAAATTGGTAAGAGGCCAGATGAGAAATCCAGGCAGCGCTTTACTGGGACTTGTGCTGCAGCAGGAGGGAGCAAGGGAGCAAAAACAAGTAAAATGTTCCCTTGCTCCATCAAATGGGGTGAGGGTCAGGGGGATCGATGGGTGGGGCTGGAAGGGTGGTTTAGGGGGTCTGCCCACCTTCTTGGTGGCTGTGTGCAAGGATTATGCATAGTACCTGCTTTTGCTCCAGGCACCTCAGAAGTTGCAGTTGGGTTTTTGATCTTCTTATATTTTGTTGTTGATAATTTGCTCCAAGTTTGTGAGCATGTGGTTATTTTTAGTCCCTTATAGTTTCTTTGTGTTCTGTTGCTCGAGGAGATGTTTGTCCAAGTACAAGCACTGCAGCACAGGGTCCCAGGTCCCAGCCTGTCTCAAAAGGACAATTGAGGTTGTGTGAGCAAGCTTGTGGTACATAGTCTCGGACAATGTCGGGAGTGCCCTGTGCCCAGCACAGACTCTGCTGACAGAAGAGTCTCAGAAGATGGTTATCAAACGAATTAACCTGTTTGTTCAATTTCACTGTCCGGCAAACTTGGCAGATGCGAGCTTGATCAAGAAACAGCCAATGGCATTGCAGCCCCCTTGGTCTTCTTATAGAAGAACTCTTTCCTCATCATCACCCTTTTTATACAGATTTACCAGAAGTTGCTTGTCCTTATAGTTCAAATGTGAAATTCTTTTCCACTTTAACAGCCCTCTGCGACGAGTCTCTAAAACCCTGCCCTGCGGTTCTGTACATAATATTTGAAGAATTCACATATTTCTAAAAATTGGTAACAATGGGGAAAATAAGAAACATTCTTGGCCCCACCTATGATGACTCAATTCACATAATCCTCTGTTGTGGCCAGGGCCTGAGTAAGTAATGGTCAGACACCATTCCCCAAAGTCGACTCAGTTTGCTGGAAAAACACTGGGTGAGGCCAAAAGACGGAGCTCCAGCTTGCCTTGTGGGCCCCTGAGGGCTTCCTGGAGAAGGTGGAATTCCCCAAGTTGCCTGAATCAGAATCTACTCCACATGCCCCACTGGGGCAGCTGCCCCGCCTTGTCCATCCCTTGTCACCTGGCCCTCTTGTGCTCCATTGCTTGTTCCACAGTCTCAGGTGTAGCAGAGAAGGGACGTGAACCTGGGGAAACATGCCCACCGGTGTGCATCCTGACATATTAGAGAATGGGTCTGCATTTTGTGTCACTTGTGTGTTTTCCAACTTCGACTCTATTTTCCACCTAAAAGGAGTTGGGAGGAGGGCAGTGGAATCACTAAACAGGAGACGGTCCTGCTCATCTTGGTGTCTTTGGGTCCTTACCGTGCCCAGAACACAGAAAATCCATCCAGACTTATTGAATTAAGGAATGAACAAATGAGACTCGTGCCCTTTGAGGGAAAAAGAGGCTTCACTTATTCAGACCCAGCTGATTGATTTACGCACTTTCACGAGACTCGTAAATTTGGCCAAGACTTAACCACATCTATCCTCAGGGCAGGCTGGCTTTTTGAAAGCAACTATCTGCGGGCTCCTTAATGAAAACCAAACAACATAAATCGTGCCAGGACTCACCAGCGACAGCCCCGGGGAGGCAGGCTCCTTTCTAATTACCTGCAGTGTTTTTGTGGGGAGCAGCGGCTATGGTGGGGCTGAGCATTGGGTAGATCCGTAGATAAGAGTAGTTGTTACAACAAAACTCCAGTGGTCAATGTCCTGCCTTCTTGAGTCCTGTGAATGCCACATGGTGGGGACGTGGCTCCAGGTGGACCAGGGGCAGCCTGCAAACCACCTCATGCTGGTCGCCCAGCTCCCGCCTCCACCCCGGGACCTGGCATGTAGCTTTCAGAAGAGGTAAACGTGAAATATTATTTTAACTGGTTTCTTTTTCCTACTGAGAACAAAACTCACAAGTCAGGGTTACCTTTGTCTGGCTCTGCAGCTCATGAAAGACTTTAGTTCTGCCACCAAACGCTCTGCATAGAATGACTCCATTAATCACGAGACCCCACTCCCCAGGCTGGGGCTAGAATTGATTTTTTACCAGCAGGAGCCGAAGGCGTGCTTTGGATGTTGCTTTAGTAAGAGAAACCTCATGGGCTATTTGGCTAGAGAGAAATATTGCTGCTTTGGTCACCTGTGTGCGGGTTGACCCGCCCGTTCCCCTCCAGAAAGATCGCCGGGGGGATACTCATTTTACTGAGATAACACCCAGACTTCAAGAGGGAAGGCCAACTTC